GTTTTTTTTTTTTTTTTTTTTGTAAATAATATGTTTCAATTTTTAAGAATTGAAAGGTATAAACTATGAACAATAAATTTCCACCCCACTTTTGTCCATTAGTCATTCAAATCTTCTGGTGGCCACTATTATAGTATTTTTTTTTTTTGGCATATTCTTGCAGATTTGTACTTTGCGTATATATTTAGCTGTATTACTTTTTCCCCATTCCCTCAAAATATGGTATTGCATGTACATCTGTACTATGCCTTTTTTGCTTACCAAAATATCTTTAAGATTAGTCAATCTGTATTTCTTTATCAAGAATATTCTCATTTTTTCCAAAGGATTTTTTTTTTTAATTTTTTATTTTTTTCAACGTTTATTTTTTTGGGGACAGAGAGAGACAGAGCATGAACGGGGGAGGGGCAGAGAGAGAGGGAGACACAGAATCGGAAACAGGCTCCAGGCTCTGAGCCATCAGCCCAGACCCTGACGCGGGGCTCGAACTCCCGGACCGCGAGATCGTGACCTGGCTGAAGTCGGACGCTTAACCGACTGCGCCACCCAGGCGCCCCTCCAAAGGATGCTTTTATTTTTAACCACTTACATTAAGACATATTGTTGGTTCATATTTTTACTATTGCAAATAATCCTTCAGTGTGCATTCCTAATTTTGATTGATTTTGCCAAATTGCTCTTGTTCAGTTCTGTCATCTTTAGGTTACTACTATAGTGTGTGAGAACTCCTGATTCTCAATTGCCTCAAAACGTGATATAATTTGGATGTTGGCCAACCCAAGTTAAAAAATGGCATTTGGGTGTAGTTTTGTTTTGTATCTTTCTTTTGAGTGAGGTTTAGCCTTTTTTGATCTGTTTAAACCGTTGTATAATTTTTCTATGAACTGGGATTTGCCCATTTGCCCTTTGTTGTTTTTTTTTTTTAAGTCTTTTGTTGGAACTCTTTATTTATTAGGTCAGACCTTTAATAGGTTTTGAGTTAAACAAAAACTGATGTTGGAGTAGAAGTGCTTCATTTCTGATTGAACTCAAAACATTCCGGTAACCATTGGGAGTTGGAGGCCAGAGTTGTACATTGGATAGCCTGTGTATTTAAGTTCCTTTCCTAGTCCAGCAGAACCTTCGGGCCAACATTTTTGGAGGAGTTTATGGAGATGACGTGATTAGCTAAATATATTTCAGATATTCTCTCTCTGAGGGATGGTAGATTGCTCAAGAAATAGCATATTAATTTGTCTTCCACATTTTATTTTTTTCAGATAAGCCTGAGAAGCAATGTTTTTAAATCTCTCATATATATTAAAATGCTATTACATCAAACTTATTCATTGTAAAATATAGGTGTTTCAGTTTCTTATTTATGAAAGAATGCATCTGATAATGGTGAGTCAGAGTAGCTTGAAGTTTAATAACTCATACTGCTTGGATGTGTGTTCATTTTAATTGAAACTCTTAATTTTCCGAGGCCTGAGTTTTCACTCCACCTGTGTTTGTGGGACTATTGGGCCTAAGCTCATTTCATGGCTGGGTCAGACATGATGGCATGTATGCTAATCATTTAAATTCCACTTTGAAAAAAAATTTAAAAAAAAATCCACTTGGTCAACTGACACATGAATAAGTAGTAACCAAAGTCAAATAAGTGAAATAACCAAAGAGAAATAACTAAATAACCTAAGTCAAATAAGTGAAGTCATTAGAATAGAATCCTTCCTTAGAAAGTCAGCAATAACCACAAAACAAAAACAAAAGCAGGCATTTCAATTCATGTTTATTTAATCAATATCAGCATTCTTTTGTAATCCAAATTTTCTTCCTGCATTTATGAATATATATAAACATTTTAGTACAACAGCAAGTATATTTTTTGATTTAAAACTATCTGTTCTTTAGGGACACCTGGGTGGCTCAGTCAGTTAAGCCTCCACCTCTGGTTTTGGCTCAGGTCATGATCTCATCCTTAGGGAGAGTGAGCCCTGCATTGGGCTGTGAATGGATGCGGGGAGCCTGCTTGGGATTCTTTCTCTCTCGTCCTCTCTGCCTCACCCCACTCAGGCTAACACTGTCTCAAAGTTAATAAATAAACATAAAAAAACCTCTATTTGTCCTTTTTAAAAATATATATATATTTTTTAAAGCTTATTTATTTTGAGAGAGAGACAGTGTGAGTGGAGGAGCGACAGAGAGAGAGAGAGAGAGAGAGAGAGAGAACCCTTCTGTCAGGGCTATCAGCACAGAGCCCGATGTCAGGCTTGAACCCATGAATTGTGAAACCATCATCTGAGCTGAAACTAAGAGTTGGACGCTTAACTGACTGAGCCACCCAGGCGACTAAAAGCTATTTGTCCTTTAAATGAAATGTTCCGTGATAAAAATTCACTGGACTCTTTTTTTTTTCTATCAAACTTTTATTTTATTTTATTTTATTTTATTTTATTTTATTTTATTTTATT